CACTGCCACACAGTGATAGTAATAGTTACACGCACTATTGACAGAGCAACTCAGTCACCAGACCGGTGTGCAGCAGGTGCTGCGGGTGGCCCCAGCTCACAGATGCAGAGTGTAGGCTTCCAGAGACGGGTTAAATACCTTGCCCAGGTCATACTGCTAGCAAGGAGAGCAAAGGCTGAGACTGAAGTTACCAGGTACCTGGTTCTGGGGCTTTTAGCCATGTGCTGTGCTCCTGTATAACAGTTTCAGTAAGGTAAACACACATGGGGATTTGTGTTTTTTTGTTTTGTTTTTTTTTTTTTTTTTTTTTTTTTTGGTTTTTCTCCAGTACCAGGAACCGAACTCACGACCTTGCGCTTGCCAGGCACACATGGGGATTTGTTGTAGGGACATTTTACGCTCGTGTTGTGTGAGATCAAAGGGGCCATGGGACCTCTTCATATTATTCACAAGGAATCCAAAGCTCGGGCTGGGAAAGGGACACGCCTCGGTCCGTGCAAGTCCACGACAGTGAAAACGCTTTGCCAGGCTCCCCTGCTTCCTCCTAGGTCCATCACTGCAAACCAAGTCATCACTGGAACCGTGCGGACCTAAGTTAGGAAAGATTACACCTGTTAGAGAGAAATGGGAGAAAAAGGGCAACTGAGAATCCATTTGCCCTGGCTTTTAAAGCTGTCTTGCGTGGATGGATCAGTTTACAGATGTTTTTATAGCAACATCCTTCTTTCTCTTTTTCTCTGTGTTTGGTGGGAAAGCTTACCGAACATCGATAGTGAGTTATTTTCCTTTATTACTGCCACAAAACTGCCCTTAATAAGAACGGAGAGAAAGAAAAATGCAAGCTTTTGGTCTTCCTGTTCCGTTTCTTCAGTGGAACCCCGTAATCAAAGGTTTGGGGCTTTAACATTCTTTTTAGAGACAATATTTTCCTTTCACAAGTGAAAAATGTTCTAGGTACTGTACTGACTTGCAGATGTCTCTCCCTTGTTGGCAGTTATTTTGCCTATGACGGGAGCTGTCAAATGGGCACAACCTTGGGCCAGCTCAGACTTGGACATAGTGAACCTATTTCTGCTGCACAGCAGCAGTGTGCCCTGAAGCGCGTTTCTTAATCTCGCTGAACCTCACCATTAACTCCACTATGGTGGTTAAATAACATCTAGTAGACAGGACTTTGAGACTGTGGAGTGACTTGCTGCACGTAAAAGTGTCCACTTGAGTGCTTTACACATAGTACGTTCTTCTTAAATCTTACATCTCCTTTTAATGAGCAAAACTCTGCCTCCCTATAACCTCAGCGAATGGCCCCACTCTGTCATCTAACCACTCCGCCTTAAGTGTAAAATATCCCACAAGGTGGCCCTCAAAATATTCAGAGGCATCCTCCCCTCCAAACTCTTCCTTTACAGTGGTGCTCTGGTGTAAGAACTCCATCCATCTGTGGTCATTCTGAGCCTCTTTATCACCGAACCAGTCTTCCCACTAATTCACTAGACTGGTTTATGTATTTGAATATGACCTAAGGTACCAGTTAATTTATTGGAAGAAGTACATTATAGGTAATGGCACATTAGTCTGTGATAGAATTAGCATTTTGAGCACACGTATCCTCTAGGATTAATTCACTCTCTGAAGATGATTTTTGGATGCCTTTTACTTGAATATAAGAAAATGAACTGATTCACTGTGAGTTAAGGCCATAAGAAACCCTAGTGGAATTATGCACTCATCTAGCATTTGCCCAGTGGATTCTCTCCCTCTTTCTCTCCCATTTCCTCTCCTTCTCTCCTCCCTCTACCCTAAGCACCTACCCAGAAAGGGCTGGGGGCAGGGTCGGGGTAGGTGAGTCACAGTCAGTGACTGACCTCACACCTGGAGAATGGTTTGATGATGAATTCTGCTCTCCCAGTCTTATCGCAAAAGGCCTAATTGGCAAAATTTCCAGCTTCATGTTGTCCCATGACTTCCTAAGGATTGGTGCCTGGCGCATAGAAACACCTGTTTGGGGAGATCAGAACGGGCACAAGCCCTTTACTGCAAACTGAGTTTTTCTGTGCTTTGCCCAATCTTCATAATTGGGGTCATATTCTCTGCTACATCTTCTTGCAGCCCCATGGGAAGATTAATCCAAAGATTAAAATTAATCTTAATTTTGTGAGGTCCTGTTAGTGTCACTGCTCTTGTTATCTGTTTCAGAGGCTTGCTGGGACTTAAGGAATGTTCTCAAAGTGTTCAGCAGGCTTGGATGAAGCAAACAGATTAAATGTGAGAGATCAGTAGGAGTCAGTCGCTGAGCCTAATTGATAGCTGTACTTCATCCGAGAAATGTTTACACTAAAATAAGCGTGCATCTGTCTCTTTGGTTCTCTGTCCATCCATCTGTCTGAAAGGAAGAGTGTATAGAGGGAGTTTGACAAGTTGCAACAGGAAAGGAAAAACTGTTCAAGCATGAGAGAGCTGTTTCCCTGAAATCTGTGCTTGGCTTCTTTCCAGATATCTGGCTTCTCCTGGGCTTTGCAGCTGAATTCTCAGGGATCTATCCTCAAAAGTACTATGTGTACCAATTCAGCAGGCTCTAGAATGAACCAAGTTTTAAAAGAGGAAAACAGAACCAAATGTGGAGTCAGAGAGACAGAAGTGAGAAACCCAGCCATCTGCCCAGGAGAGTTTGCGCCCCAGCCTGGGTTCTCCAGAGCCAGCTCGTGGGATATGGAGCATCCTGGCGAAGCTGCGGCAGATGGCCTCTAACTTCAGAAGCCTACTGCCCTCCATTTTGAAATATCTCCTGCTCTGCCTCTAATATATTAGAAAACAAGGGAGGATTAGGGCTGCGACATCACCTTCATATGTACATGTGCTCTGGGTGGCTTGTTACCAGATTAGGGTAGACACTGTTCCCACCCAGGAGGTCTCAGGTTTACTTTAATACCCTTGTAGCACTTCCCATTATGAGTTCCTGCATATCAGTTACCAAAGTAGGTATAATTCCTTCATGCTTACCAATGTGCATATGACACTTTACCTTTCACGGGCAACTGTGATCATCTTCCATAAATGCTCAGCATTTAAAATACTTTGAGTTCTGCTCAGAAGAAAACACATATTTTCCTTAAAAGAATTTTGGATGAATTTTACAAGGGAGAATGATAAGGCTTCCACATGGAGAACCAAATTGGAAATACTTCAAAGTTCTTGAACTTCTACCTTGTGTTATTCACTGCTGTTCCACCTCCTTCCTAACCTGAATAGCACATTTTTTCCTCCTTGGGTCTTTGTGGTCCATCAGCAGAAGATACTGTCATCATGTAGGTATTGCCTGGTCTTTTCAGAAACAGAATGACCTCATTCCCTAGGGGACTGGACCTTAGATTGTTTCCCTTTGAGACAAAATCTTTCAGTCTTCTAGATGAAAGGGCATGAGGTAGCTGTAAACTGTGAGAACACTGGATTATCATTTTCCTTTTCAATTAACACCACTTGCTGACACCTTGTGTGATCCAAACTGCAAAGAGGCCAGTACCCACATGCGCATAAGCTGTCAGAACACTTGGGGCTGAGGATTTAGCTCAGCGGCACAGCACCTGCCTGGCAAGCGCAAGGTCGTGAGTTCGATTCCCGGTACCGGAAACACACAAACAAAAAACAGAACGCCTGCCGCAGGTCCCAAAGCCCTCCAGCCACTCTGAGTGGCATCCAGCTGCAGTTAAGAAGTCACAGCCAGATAGTGGAGCTCCTAACCAACCTGTGGCCCAGGCAATCCTCTACCTCCCAAGGAAGCTGGCAGGCGTGAGCTGGCCACAGGGAAAAAGGTTCCTGTTAATTTTTCTCTAAGAACAACTGTGCGGGTACTGAAGCAACCTTTGCTTCTCTTCATTCCTGGAAGAATGTATCCTATGGGCAGAGAAAGTCCTCTTTATTATTCAAACCATTTGAAGACAGCACTCTTTTCCTGAGGTATTGAACCAAGAAGACTGTTATCCAGTGCAAAAAGTCCACCTGATTGGTATTCACATTTTGTCCACTCCCCACCCAGGAGAAACATACTGTTAAAGCTAGTTGTCGGAACATTCTGTCAAATGGAAACTTCTATTAATTGATATAAGCATGCTTCACTGGGCATAGTGAAAATTGAGGTTCATAATGGTGACCTGGAGTCAATGAAAACTTCTGTAATGTCTTGAACCATCAGAGAAAAATTAAAATACATTCGCTGTTGTTTTACGTGAAGTGTATTTTATTGTATTCCGTGCCTAGCAAATTGGTAATGCACACCTAGTATTTCTGATAATATTCTATTAAACCAAGTGTCTGATTTGACACGGCATTCCAGTTCCCCAACACAGCAGAGTAGTGGGGTCTTCCTGTTACAGCTTACTGGTTGCTCTGCTGTGTGCAGGCTTAGGTCATTCTTATTTTTTATAGAAAAATTAATAGGTGTGAGTTGGAATCTCCATCCTTTAGCTTTGTAATTGAACATTATCGTTATACATTTAGATATGGTAGGAACATTTCAGAGGAAATATTTTAAGTAGCCATGACCCTAGACAGTGCTCTTAAATTTTTCCAAATGTATCATTCTCTTTGGCAAATGAGATTCAAGAGGACACAGGAATGGGATTCTTTCACTGCCTCAATATCTCTGCTTTTTTTTTTCCACACTTTGAATATACTTTGAATTCTGATATGATATTTTAATAAGAAATGCGTTTTTTTAGTTCTGATAAAGGCTAACAAGTTAATGTGGATTTGAAAGGCTTCCATACTTTTTTCCTTTAAAAACATGTTTTTAAAAGAAGAGGTGAGCTCTTTAAGTAGGTGAGGGGATTTAGAGTAGGGAGATAATGATTTCAAGTTTTAAAGAAGACCCAAAGGAAAGCTGACCTCAATTTATTGGCAGAAGATTACACTGTGTATTTATAGTTTGTGATACTGACTTCCTAAAGAGAAAAACTAAAAACATATTGTGAAATGTCACCATATGAAAGGAGGAGTGTGCGGCATTACCATCAAGGTTAATTTATTTGCCTAGTGATGCCAGTGACACTGCAGATTTTGTTGTTTTTTTTTTAAGATGTTTGAAATCTTTTCCAAATCATTTGATCTTGGCTTCTTTTGTTAATCTTTCACTGTCATCCTGAGCCTCTCTGTTTGGTCCATCTCTTTTTTTTCTAATCCAAGTAGGGAAGAAAAACAAGAAAGCTGGTCTAAGAAAGTTGGTTGAAAGGCTTTCCTTTCCCACTTCTATCACCATGGTGCCAGACGGTACAAAAACGGCTGCTGGTACCAGTCCTGTCTCCTGTGCTTTTCTAGAGACCTTCAGAGTGTTGATGTTATAAAACCAGGATTCTTCCAGAGGAGGCTCTGTCAGAGAAAATGTGCTGCAACAAGAAATGCATTTTCAGTAGCTAAGGTGAGGAATGGAAAGAAAAGGGAAAACTTCCATAAAAATCAGAAAAAATAATTTAACACCTGCAAGCCCTCCAAAGATCACCCAAGCCCTTGGCTAATGCTGAAGTAGATTCTCTTTGACTGCACGGCCATATGCTGCCTGTGTTCCACATGCCATGTTTTAATGGAATGTGAAATACGATTTGGTAAGTCAAACAGATTAACCTTCTCTATGAGTAAATTCTGTTTTAGTCAACACTGAAAAAACTTTTCCTTATGTTCCACACTTAAGGCTGTTATCTTTAACCTTGTCCTCTTAATGGGGTCTTTAACATCTCACCATGGAAAGCTAGAGCTTTTCCTTGAAATTTGTCAGAAATGCACGTACAAGCAATCCACGGAGCTAAAGTCTCAAAGAACTGGAGGAGGGCACACCCTGACAGTGCAAAATCTCTGCATAATTTCTGGGTGTACAGACCTCGATTTAGAGGTCCATTATAGTTTTTAATGATAAATGATTACTTGTTTGGAAAGCTTTTAGCCATGGTTGAGAAATAACAAGTAGGTCTTTAACTGGCTTTAATTTTGACATCTGAGCATCACCAAATTGAAGTTAGAGTTAAGGTTGCCACAAATAGAAGAAGGCGCCTACCTGAAGTGAAAGAAGAGGTTTCTCTTCCTTGTGTCACCACTGTGGCTGTATTGATACGAATGTGAGAGCAGCAACAAATCCCGACTTTCTCATTCTACGAGCACATCTGTCCATTCCCTGGAGGCCTCAGGAACGTGTTTCCTGAGTTCCTGCCGTATTCACACTTATCTAAAAATATCCCGAAAAATTCTTTCCTAGACAAAAATCTAAATTCTAATGCCATGTGCTGTCACCCAGCCTGAAAGCATAAATCAGAACCAAAGAAGTGTGAAAATGGACATCTTTTATTAGCATTATCAAGCATGACTGATAACAAAGAAAGCAACACTCACATAATTTTTATTTTGCAATTATTAGAAAATTTATAATTAAAATGTCCTTTGAAACTATGGTTTTCTTTTATAAGAGAAGATTTAAAATCTTTTTTCTCAGTCTCCCCTCTCTTATCCTGACTATCCAGTTGAGGGTGAATTTGATAATGTCTATAAAAGTGTTTTATGTTTATGAGAACCTAACAGGAAAGAAATTGAAGCTATTTGGACTGATGTTATCAGTGATTAAGGAGTAAACTGACCACCTTTTGAAGGTGATTTAACACTTTAAACCTCTAAGAGGTCATTTAGTGCCATGGAAAAGGTAATTTACTAAATGGTACTTTTGTAACTTAAAAAAATTAATGACCACTGAGAGTGAGCAAATTATCTGCTTTTTAGTTTAGGGTCAGGCTTATAGAACTGTATGTGAGGCCATCCACCTTTCAAAGGGATTTGATTTTATTTCATTTGAGAAGCTTTTTAAAAAGTCATATTGAGAGCTCAAGAACATTTGGGACTTTTGATTTCTCTCTTGATCATTTTCAGACACATTTACAGAAGCAGTCAGAAAAGAGATTTATTTTAAATTTTAAAGTGAATGTGACCCTTCCCTCCTCATAGTCCTATCTTTAAGTCAGTGAAATTGTAAAATGCATGCAGAAGCAGTGCAGCGCTTTAAAAATAACAAATATAAGTTTCACATAACATTTTAAACTTCACAGAACGTTTTCATGTCTCACAGTGTCAATAATGAGTTAGCTATAAGATTTTTTTCCCAGTCAATGGAAAGAGATTTCAGCTAAACACTAAAAAACCTCTCTTCATTCTCTTGATGGTGATACCCAGATGGTTGAATGAAAAAGTCTATGGAGTCATTGTCCCCGATGATAAAGCAGCACAGAGACACATTTAAATTTACCCCTGACCCAATTCTTGGAGTCCAGGAGAACAAGTTTATTCTGTACTTCTCCATTCACCAGAAAAACATCTTGTCTTTCCACCAATATTAATTATATATGTGTAAGGCAAATATTGAATCACATCCAAATAGATACACTGTAATGAATCTAGTCCCCTTGCTTGAATATCCTATGGTACTGTTTGATTTGTACAAATTTAATTATTTATTGTTCTATCAGTTTTCTATTAATCCCAATTCTGTGAGTTTTGCCAACTTGATGGAAAACTTTAAAAGACAAGACTGGTTCGGGGAGCTATTTTAGTACTGTACTCTCTGCAGGGAGTATCACATATAGGACACCTGAAACAACTCTAATTGATCCATCCTTGCTATAATTCCTACTTAAAGACAGTAGAAGCATTCGGTCCCAAATTTAAGCATGGGTCAGAATCCCCTGGAGAGCTTTATTAAACACAAAGCTATGGCCCACCATCAGAACTTGGGAAGTAGCAGATATGGGTGGGATTGCTAATTTGCATTTCCAACGAATTCATTAATTTCTAGTGACTATTGCTACTGCTGGTCCAGAGATCATATTTTGAGAATCACTGCACTAGACTCACTTAAAGCCTTCTCCAAATTTTCTTTCATGAGATTTAACATCCCTATCTACTTTAAAGTGGGATTTAGGAGCACAAGACATTATTCACAGAAACAAATATACTCTAGGAACTTAATGCTAAACCCACAAGTTAAAAGACCTAGAAGAAATCAAGCTGAGCTCCAAATATATCAGGCTATGAATGAATAACTCTAACTGATTAATGACAATAATAATAATTTTCTAAATGAGGCTATATCCCACTTCATTAGCACAGTTATTACCCGACTTATGAATGGATCATATTGTACAGTTTATTTGGAACCTCTTGTTTAGAGCTTGAAATGTGTTTGCCACAGAAGGATTGTGATAAGCAACGGTAATACATGTCTCTGTAACCCAGAATTCACTCAAAGATAGTTCTAATAGCGCCATGGGTCCTCAGACTGTGTTGCTCGGAGGAAAACTTCAAGATGTATAGCTATCTCCACCAACTGACATAGGGTATCCTGGGACACAAGCATGGAGGGAAGAGATTGTAAATCCATATCCAGGTGATATCCACTGCAGTATTATGGAGATATCCTACACATCCTCACCTCCAGTGAAATCAGCCCACAGGTCCTTTTCGCTGCTCTTTGTTAATCAGACCGTGATAGGAGAGATTCTGATAATGTCTTTCTTCAGTGGCTGGGCCAATGAGACAATCGCTGTTTGGCTGAAGTGTTCAGGAGGTGCTCCATGTCACGTGCCATAAATCACTGAGGATGTTGTGACTGCCCAGGCCTGCTGACGTGTTTCAGCCACATCACCCGAAGCTTTGCTCCAACCCTGTCTGCCTCTATAGGTTTCCCACCATCCTCCCACCCTTACAATTTTCTGTTGTTATCCAGCTTCACGAAGGATTTACAGCTGATCAGAATGGGGTGTGGGATATTTAACCACTTATCGTTTCGGGGAAATCCAAGCCCCTGGAGCTGAGCCGGTGCTCTATATTGAGAAAAGAAGACTGCCTTGGGATGAGGAAAGGAGTAAATGGACAGAGGGTGGGACCAGGAAACTAGAAATAGGACAGAGATAGCTGCAATCAGTCAGCCACTTGTGCTCACTTCTCCCACCTTACATCACTGCACGGATCTCCCAGAGCCAGCTCTGGAGTGCACGGACAACTGGTTCCTTCTCGTTTGAGGGCAAAGAGGAGCATAATCATTACTGGCAAATCAGAGAAAAAAGTAATTCCTCTAGCCACCATCCGGTACTGTCTGGGGTGAACAAGAACAGGTGTTCCAAGTTGGCTATTTTGTCAAGCAAGGAATTCCTTAGTACATCAACACACACACACACAGTGAAATGTCTAAATGGATTTCATTGATTACTGACTCGTGTTTTGCTACACCCAGTTTGCACGTGGAATTATAGACCACAGCGGTCTTGGTTCTTGCAGAAGTCAGCACCAAGAAGAACATGAACATGGAAGGATTAAAGAATTGTGTCAGAGAAAATGCTTATGAGAGAAAATGGAGAGGGGGCCAAAGATCCCAAGCAGAGCGGTCAGGCATGCCCGACCTTGAGGGAAAGAGGTCGCGTGGAAGCCTCTGGGTGGTCTGCACTCTCGGGAAGACTGGGTCAGGCCACTGGGCAGCGCTTGAGCCGAACATGACCACAGTTACCGTGTGTCTCTCAGGAAAGAGCCTGCCACAGGGTTCCTGCTGGGCGCCATCCATGGCCGGAGCAGCCCGGGAAGCGTGGCACGACCGATCGTGCGCAGGGATTTCGGAGGCCGTCATTTACGCTTCTGGTTGGACGTCCGTGAGGGAGATGTCCTGCTTACAGACCCACAGCCAAAGTGTCAGGATAATATAAATTGTGACAGTAGTGCTTTGCAGTGAGAATGACGATCTTGATTATTAAATTTTTTTAAACATCTATTCCCTTATCACTGGTATTCCTTAAAAAGTATAAAACCCAAGAAAAATCCATTAAAATATACCTTGATCTGAAAATTGTATTTTAAGCTGCTAGTTTCCACAAATGGCCTGCTGAACTGGTTTTAAGGCTGGAGAGAGAGAGCAAAATGAACTGTCTTGGCTTCACTTTGTTCTTGGAGATTGTTGAAATGGCAACCACATGGCACAGAATAGGCAGCCAGAGGGTGAGGGGAAGGCTGGAAAAAAGCCCCAGCTTCATCACTGCTGCTACAAAATCAAGAGTTGCATGAGCATCTTTTTTTTTTTTTTTTTTTTTCTTTTTGAGACAGGGTCTCCCTGTGCAGTTCAGGCTGGCCTTGAGCTCACTTTGTAGCCCAGGCTGGTCTTGAATTTGCAAACAATCCTCCTGCCTCAGCCTCCCGAGTGCTGGGATTGCAGGTGTGCACCACCACTTCCAACCTTGAATGAGCATCTTTTACTTTTCAAGATTACCAAAATCTTTTTTTTGATCCAGAAAAAAAAATTTCTTGGTTTTTAAATCTGGAAAATCTAATTTTTCATTTTATATAAATAATCTGTGTTCCATTCCACTGGGAGGAATGCATGATGATGTTTAGAATATCAGCTGCCGCCTAGCGATGTTCACAAAGTTAACTATGCATAGATCATGCTATATTTTAAATTATGTCAGTAATTTGCCTCTGTTTCTTCTGATGTCCGAATGGAGAAATGAGGAGCTATTATTTCCAAAACCTGATGGGTATTGTCTATTTCACATGGTCTTTAAGAAGTGGAAGCATACAGGGAGCTAGATCGCTTTTACCTAACTGAAAATCCCAACCGACGCAAAGCCTCCTGGGACAGTGTGTGAACCTTGTATGTCAGTTCAGTTGCATTGTACTTCACTCTTTGTTCTTTTGTGCTTAAAATGGTCCTTAACAAAGATGACAGCACATTAATGGGTTCTACTTGAGGAGTGATAACAAAGACTTCAGTTATCAGAGGGACTATTGCTTAAGGTTCAGTGTTTTTCCCTGAGAAAAACATACATAGACTAAAGGTCAAACCATTATGGTTACTGGTGAAGTTGCTCACCATGGTGAAGGAGATATATTTTTAATGGCTGGATTTAAAATTAATAAGATAATGACTCTAAGAATAAAAGTCCTTTTTTTCTTGTTCAAAATGAAAATGTATTAACTAGTTCTAATAATATATTAACAAGCTTAACAAAGATATGGAGTTTTCTGATAGGAAGGAGAGCTGAGATTATGATTGCGATGATAATTCTGACAAGGGGATCCAGGGATAGCTTCAGAATGCGGGACTTGGGCACAACCCAAAGGCCTGGAGTGAATTCCAGTAAGTCTCAGGCTAGAGGTGGCCTTGAGCGGAAATAGCAGTGGTGAGGGGTCTAAGAAATGTGAGTAGGAGGATTTCCAGTGTTTGGGGGAGGCAGAATCTCTCATGTGAAGTGCAAACAGCCCTTCGATAGAACAGTTAATTGTCTGTAGGTCAAATAGTCTATTGCCTCAGGTTATAACCTAATAATAAGCAAGACCTTCGTTTCTATTTTGCTACACAAAGGTACATGTAATTCTCTCTCTCTCTCTCTCTCTCTCTCTCTCTCTCTCTCTCTCTCTCTCTCTCACACACACACACACACACACACATACATACACACCTCATACTCTACCTCTTACGTACTCACCAACTGTAACACATAAAGGAAGAAATGATCTCTATTGTTTTTTTTTTTTCAGTATAGTACATGTTAAATAAAGGTGGACTCCTGAAATTATACATTAGAAGTAATGTGTGATTTGAGGGCTATTCCCATATAAATTTTTCCCTCATAAATGAAGCTGCATACCCCTGTGTTTGTGGTAATCAAAGACAATGTATTTAAATGGTCCTGTTCCATCTGTCAGATGTTAGCTGATGGTGATGTCACAGGTTACCAATTTACTACCTAGTAATTGCTCTTTAAATACTTGTTTGGGACAGAAAGCAACTTTTCTTTTGCTGCTAACCTACTGACAATGCTGCTTCATTAAGTTATAGAGTAAAGCGGCCTCTAATTAAAAACAACACCTTTAGAGCAGAATAAGTTCATTTCTGCTACTATTTTTTCAGATGACTGGCTAAAGAGTTAAAATACCATGTTAAAAAGTAAAACAGCGAGGAAGCTTGTGTTTATGTAGTATGCTTAGACCAAAAATGTTTTGCATAAATTGTACTGAATGCACCCAAATCCCGATATTCATACATGAAAGAAAGAAGGAAAGAAGGAAAGAAAGAAGGAAAGAAAGAAAGAAAGAAAGAAAGAAAGAAAGAAAGAGAGAGAGAGAGAGAGAGAAAGAAAAGAAAGAAAGGGAGGGAGGGAGGAGAGGAGAAGGAAAGGAGAAAATGGCTGATGAGATCTTGTTTTGAATGGCACAGACATGAAAAACTCGAAGTAATCATTTTAAAAATATTGTCAAAATTCTGATTATTACAGATCTTCAAGTGGTAAACAGTAATCAGCAATAACAAATCTCATTTTCTTGTCTAAAGAAGAATATCATTCCAACAAGGTAGAAAATATAATCTTATTCAGATCTGTTGCACACGTGTCTTTCCTAAAAGTGGTCTTGCATAAACCTTGACATAATTCCTCATTCCAAATGTGCAAAATGAATAACATTTAATTCTCTTACTCCCTAGATTTTGGGTTCTTTTAGCTTATCTTAAACAACTTACACTCTTCAATCCACCTAAAATGAACTGTGTTCCCTTAGTCTCATTTTCTTTTTAAACTGAAAATGCTGTATAACTAGATAATGAAAGTCAAATAATTTATAAATTACTCAAAGAAAAAATAAAGGCCGACAAATCCTATGGTCAATTGCACGCTGCATCCCATGGCATCAGTGGCTTTCTAGGGCTAGCAAATGGGACATGCCGGAGTTCTGGTACCGCACATCCTTCCCCGGGCACCCTGTGATCCTCAGTATGGCTGCCCCGTTGCTGCTGGCTCTTGTCCTTTGGGATGCCTTCTAGTTCCTCTGTCCCTCTCTTCTCTGCTCCTCTGCCTGCTGCCTCTTCGAAGGAGCCTTGTCCATTCCTCCTAACGAGTACTGTTTCTCCTCCTCTGTATTTTCACAGATGGCTACTTTACTTTGTGCAAGCACTTCTCTTAGTTCATCCTGCGTAAACCTTAGTGTCCTGCGTACACCTGGTGCCTCTCCATATTTTTAGGGTCTTGGTCCAGCACCTGCCTTTCTGACTGACTCCATCACCCTAAATATTCCGAGGGTTTCTGTCTCTCTCTCCCTCTCTCACTTCTCCCTCTCAGCCTACGTATTTTCACAAAGCTCTCTCAGCCTGAAATGTTGTCCTATTAATACTTCACCCTCCATTTCACCCTGTGTGTTTTTCTTTTTAAAGCCAAGTTTCTTGAAGGACTGATCAACATCTGCTAATTTCACATCTTTGTTTTCAAACCCTTATTGAGATATAAGTGACAAATAAAAAGTGTGCATATCTAGGATGTACGGTGAAATGCTGTGACAGAGACTTGCCACCCTGACTATGAGCTGATGTGTGGCCACCTGCTCTTGTCCTCACTACCGCACTAAAACTGCTTTGATATGTTCATCAGTGGGTGGCCTGGGACCAGTCAAACTCTCACCCATGGAGTCCTCATTACGCAGGGTCTCTCGTTGCGCTGATGTCACAGACAATTTCTTTTTCAGAGAAATTGACCACGGAGGATTTTCCAAAGCATGTGCCAGCGGATACTGGTTTTGAGGGATATGAGCAGGTTTTATGTAAGAGTGTGAAAATTCTGTGGTCAAATAATTTTAGAAAGCTCTGCATTCTGTAATCCTCTTTAAAGATTCACAGTGCAAATTAGCAAGCCAGTTTTACTTTAATTTATAAAACTCATTTATTATAAAAGTGAGACTGCATTTTGGGAAATGCTGCTCTTCAAATTTAACTTTCCTGTCTCTATTTCCTCCTGGATCTCTGTCTAACCTTCAAAATTTTCCTTTTTATTTTTTAATTTCCCAGCAACCTGCTCTGATCCAAGACTCTTTCTATATATCCTCTCTTCCTCTCTCTCTCTCTTTCTCTCCTGTCTCTCTCTGTCTCTCTCTGTCTCTCTAAGTGGTTTCATCCTTCTTATTTTTATGGCTTCAACTATCTCCAGATTATTGGTGACTCCCAGCCTAGATTTCCAAACCTGCCCTTCTCTTTCCTTCAGACTCAGTGGTGTTTTTATTGCGCATGCCCACCTACATACTCCTAGATACTTTCTTTACCTGGGCATTTCTCAGGCACTGTACACCCAACGTGTCTCCAGCTGTTAAGGTCACTGGCAGTTCTGTTCCTCGCTATTGGCGTGTTTCTTATTCCTGAGTGTATGGTGTTACCCTTACAAGAAAACATGGAATACTGTGGATTTTGCCTATGATGTCACTCCCAGTAACCTTTGGCATGTCATAGTGGGATGGCTGTGTGACAGATGAAAAGGTATGATCTGAGGGTTGAAGATTTCCTCAATGGCAAAGAAATATAGAAACATAGGAAGACAATTAAGCAACGTAGGATACAAAAAACATACTCCCAGAGGGGAATATGACTTCTGAATCCCTAGCTTTCCGTGACGTGCCATTTCAATAGAGGAAAGACTCCACTGAGTGGAAGAGTTTCCTGTGACATTTTTAAAGGGCATCATACCCTCATACCCGCCCACAGCGGGCTCTTGTCCGGACCACGCCTGAAAGCCTCCTACTCACCATGCGGATGAGACATGGTGCAAGTGGGAGGATCAGTCACCAGCTCTTTAAAGACAGCCGTGAGGTAACAGCATGACAGTGTGACCCAGATTGCTTCCTTGAGTCCCCAGACCCTGCTGCCTTCCTGACCTGGGCTTTCACTTTACAAGTCCATGTTGGGTGCCTTCCCCACATTTCATTTTTATTTGCTGATTTAGATGCACAGTAATTCCAGGACCGCATAGATAAATGGAACCTCAGGGACATAGGGTTAGATACGCTGTGTTTAAATCTCAGCTCCGCGTACATGATTCTGAAGGAGGCATTTAGAATTCCGTATAAATTAGGTATAAACATATTTACCTGACAAGGGAAAGGTGAGGGTTGTGTAGATAATTCGTGACGTGTGCCAAGCACATGGCTTTCATTCCCTAGATGGTGGCTGAAGTCATGTTATGTTGGGTCCACCTTTACTTCCTGGACCTAGTCCTTCATTGGGATTAGCAGATCACATGTGTAGATGGTATAGTACGTGACTCCACCCAAATGTTCTCATCTTAATTGCGAGTTTTCACACGATTTCTTCTCTAACTGTGGTGAAGGCATTAGAAATGGTAAGCCTGAAATTCAGTACTTAGATAAAGAAAGAAGCACAAGGATTTAGAGTCTCCATAAGATAGACTGGATATGAGTTATAAAGTCTTATTTGAGTCTCCTACATAATAAAAAATCTATGAAATTTAATTGATCAAACTCAGGAGATGAAGAGTCATACCGACTCTGCCGGGATTAGAACTTGAGGTTTTAAGCAACCTAGACTAGCAAACCTGGAGCTTACTTCACTAAGCGCTCCCCTCTGGCTGTGTGATTATGTATGGCAATTTAGCACCAGCGAAAGGAAAAGGAATGCCTGCTACACTGCTATTTCTCCAGCCCCGCCTCTTCACTCCGGTCACAAAATTGAATATACTGTTTTGAAGACATATGGGGCTGTAGCTCATCAAATTCTCATGGACCAAAACTGAAATTAATTTTCAGTATATGTATATAGGCGAACTTCTGGTTTTCCCATAAAGGCAGAGCGTCTACCAATTTCACAATGTCTGACTCAAAATTTTATCTTCCTACATCGGCAGAACACTGTTTTGATATTTATCTGCAAATGAGTGATAGTCATTTATAATCCACAGAAGGTAGACGGTAAAGCAAATGTCAGCAAGTTTTAGTTGTCATGGGTGTAGCAGAAAGAACACAGGCTTTAGAATTGGATAGAGCCGGTGTCAAATGCTGTCTCTCACCCTCTTTTTAGCTGTGTGACTTAGGATAGGATATTTAAATGATTTATTTTCCCTAGTGAAAAGATCCAGAGATCAGCAGTTCAAAGATCTAATTCCTAATGACAGATTTAAAGAGTGACCACTCAATTTCAATTTTCCTTACTTATACAGTGCGAAGAACATCAATTCATGGAGATCCTAGGACTTGAATTTGTAATACCGAGAGACATTTGCAGGTGACTGATTCAGAGGAATCTGATTATCATTGTAAGCTTGGCTCCTAGGTGCCAAGTAATACTATACATGCATTTGCATGTATGGAAGAAGGCAGATCCTATTATTCCTATTTTGCAGATAGGGAATCGTGGGCCTGAATACGTTAAGTGACACTGCCAAACTTACACAGTTGGTAACTTACTGAGCCAAGTCTAGAATGTGGGTCTTCTCACTGCAGTCAGATACTTTTCCCCGGAACCAAAGAGCCCTGCTGCAGACAGAGTCTGTGCCCGCATATATCTTCATGAAATTAGCATTTCATCTCACACAAGGCTCGGTAGTTCTGTCTCTCTTTACATGAAGCCGTGCTGCCGTGTTCCTTTCCTAGCCCTGAGTTTCAGCGAGGGGACCTAAAGTCACTTCTTTTGCTCCCTTTTTCTTCACTTCATTTTTCTAGACTCACGATCGGGTTGCACTTCTGAGTCCAGGGCTCCCAATCCGTGAAGTGATACAGTGCACCCAAGAAGGGCTTTGGAAACTGCAAAATGCTTGGAAATATAAGGTATCGATGATAATCACGTTATGACTAAGCTTGCAATTCACAGTCCCAGATTTATTCATGTTTGAGGTCATTTTCTCTCAGCTTTGGGCATCCGGTTTCCTGAAATCTCCCCGTCTTTCCTTGAAGTAACTGGAAATGCCACTCATCTGCGACGTGGGCCTCTCTCAGCCCGTCAGGTGTCATTTCTCATCTCTCACTGTACTCTTTCCAGGTAACTCTTCTTCTGCCTGAACAGCTCGGTTGCAGCTTTTCTGCGTTCCTCATCAGTGATTTATTTTTGAGTGCAGATTCTGCCTATACGTCTGTGTCCCAGAAAGAAATTCTGACACCTAAAACAGTTCCTGCCAGTTAATATCCTTCTGTCAGTAGGTTGGCCCTGATTTAGACGGATTCCTGACAGCTTCCCACAGGCAAACACCTGCGAAAACCTGTCAGTAGCCACAGGTAGATTCCAGGACCTAAAGCTGGTCTGAGAATGCGAACCCCTGGATTTTTCCTAAACTGAGGTGCAAAAGTAAGGGATGCAGCGGCTCCCCCCAAGTCGTTTTGTTATTCAAAGGGAACAGTAAGAACCGGAACGTCTGTTGTTTCTGAGGCCTTTACACAGACACTTAGCGTGCAGCGGATCCAACGGTGTTTGCGGTTACTTCCAAACACTGTATCAGTAAGAAGTATTTTTAGTCTTTGGGGGATATTGTACATGGCAGACACATTGTTGACATCTGGCAGGTTCATATGCAACCACTGAGGTCTTTCAAAACAAAACTGTTGCAAAGGATATTTAAACCCAGAATGTCAGTTGGGAATAAAATGTTCCCTTCTTAGACTGTCTTTCCTGGTGTGAAATGTACAAATTTTAAAGATTAAGAGTGAGTCAATTTAGATATTCTGAAACACAGAAATGGAAAGAAAGCTTTTTTTTTTTTTTCTGAATGTCATCTACTTCCAAAATTATGAGGGAAAACTTTGAAAATTTTTTAAAGGAAAATGGGGGAATTTTTGTACATTTTCTTGCCTGGACTCATCTAAGACACCTAATTGTCTCCTTGGCAGTTTGCTAGGATGGGAATAGGCTCCGGTTCTGATGGCGCTACATCACGCTGGGTGGTCTTGCACACCCGGCAGAACAGCTCAGGCTCAGATTCTTCCCTTGTCACTTTGTCAAATGGGGATATCAATTGTGTGCATCCGGTAGGATGGTTGGGAGGAATACTTGACATACCAAGGAAGAGCTAAAGCCGGAGCCACGTGAGTAAGTGCTCAGCAAATGTAGCTGATGTTTTTCTGTTGCATAGCAGTCAGTATTCTAAGGAAGGCAGAAAGACTTCTGGTCTGGGTTATTTTTTTTTTTTTCCAGAGAAAGGTAGTTCACATTAGGTGATTCTTCTTTGAAGTTGAAAATAGATTTATAAAACTGTTTCTGTGAGATTACTGTATTTGTCTCTTGGAAATTATATAATTCAAAAATCAAAACCCAGCAACTTCTCCCAAAACATTGCTAGACTTTCCAAGTGTTATACCGTTGTTCAGTTGTTCAGAAAATGAATTTCCATTTTAGCTTAATACTTAGATTAAAGATATCAAATCCATCTCTGTTACGGTTTAGCCATTTTATAATCTTCTTGCAGTTCTAATAGTGTAATCCTTGGGTGAGGTAGGGACAATCAAATGTTGATTAAACATGATTTCATTTTTTTAAATGTTACATTAAAAAGTCACTCATTTTAAGAAGTTTTGCCTGTGTCTATGTATTTATTGATGACTCTGAGGGGTTTTTGTATATTTTTAAGACATAAGCAAGAGGCTCACAAGTTTGAGTCTAGACTGGGCAACATGGCAGCTAAGTAAGACCCTGCCTCAAAATTTTAAAAAGTGAAAGTATAAAGGGTGAGGGGCATGGCTCAGTGCAGAGGCCCTGGGTTAAATCTGCAGTACTGTCAGAAACATCTCGAAATACTGCAGTAGCCTCTGAATGGACTACTAGAGCCGGCCCTGGCGATCCCCTGAAGGGCCGGAGACAGGCCAAACGCAGCAGCTGCCGGTTATTTACGTTATGGGGCTGCTGTCCTAAGCCCGGCAACCGAGCACAACAAGAGGAGCAGAGGTCAGGAGACGGAGGGTGGGGCTGTAAAAGCCCAGGGGCCGAACTGCTGGTGTCACCGGTGCATGGAGGGGAGGGCGACAAAGCACCCGTTGGCTGGGAGCGCTTCAGGTAAGCGCGCTGCTTGGCGTCGTCGAAATCTGGCCGGCTCGGCTTCCTGGCGGGACTGCGCTCTGCGTTGAGCTTGCAGCCCATTCTGGCTGAGGATCCTGGTGTCCAAAGCCCTGGAACCATTCTAGTGCCAAAGCCAGTGCCAAAGCCAGTGCCTGCCCTGCAAGTCGCTTCCCTCCTGGCTGGTCCCACGTTTGGTGTCAGTTTCCCGAGAAAAGCGTTGGCGAGGGTGAATGAATTTGGGACACCTCCAGCCCCGTAGTTTTTGTACTGTGAGCGTTATCATCTCTGTCACCTCAGTGCTGGGAATGTATCTTCACTGTGCAGTCAGCATGCAGCCAGAAGAGTCATGGGTCAAATGCATAAGGA